CACACTGTTACTCTACACTGTACTGACTCACTTGTACTCTACACTGTACTGACTCACTGTTACTCTACACTGTACTGACACACTGTTACTCTACACTGTACTGACTCACTGTTACTCTACACTGTACTGACACACTGTTACTCTACACTGTACTGACACACTGTTACTCTACACTGTACTGACTCACTTGTACTCTACACTGTACTGACTCACTGTTACTCTACACTGTACTGACGTCACTGTTACTCTACACTGTACTGACTCACTGTTACTCTACACTGTACTGACACACTGTTACTCTACACTGTACTGACTCACTGTTACTCTACACTGTACTGACTCACTGTTACTCTACACTGTACTGACTCACTGTTACTCTACACTGTACTGACACACTGTTACTCTACACTGTACTGACTCACTGTTACTCTACACTGTACCGACACACTGTTACTCTACACTGTACTGACACACTGTTATTCTACACTGTACTAACACACTGTTACTCTACACTGTACTGACACTGTTACTCTACACTGTACTGACTCACTGTTACTCTACACTGTACCGACACACTGTTACTCTACACTGTAATGACACACTGTTACTCTACACTGTACTGACACACTGTTACTCTACACTGTACCGACACACTGTTACTCTACACTGTACTGACACACTGTTACTCTACACTGTACCGACACACTGTTACTCTACACTGTACTGACACACTGTTACTCTATACTGTACTGACTCACTGTTACTCTACACTGTACTGATACACTCTTACCATACACTGCACTGATACACTGTTACCATACACTGCACTGATACACTGTTACCATACACTGCACTGATGCACTGTTACCATACACTGCACTGATACACTCTTACCATACGCTGCACTGATACACTGTTACCATACACTGCACTGATACACTGTTACCATACACTGCACTGATGCACTGTTACCATACACTGCACTAGTATACTGTTACCATACACTGCTCTGACACACTGTTACCATACACTGCACTGATACACTGTTACCATACACTGCACTGATACACTGTTACAATACACTGCACTGATACACTGTTACCATACACTGCACTGACACACTGTTACCATACACTGGCACTGTACACATCACTGTTTACCATTCACTACACTGACACACTGTTACCATATACTGCACTGACACACTGTTACCATTCACTACACTGACACACTGTTACCATACACTGCACTGACACACTGTTACCATACACTGCACTGACACACTGTTACCATTCACTACACTGACACACTGTTACCATACACTGCACTGACACACTGTTACCATACACTGCACTGACACACTGTTACCATACACTGCGCTGACACAGTGTTACCATACACTACACTGACACATTGTTACCATACACTGCACAGATACACTGTTACCATACACTGCGCTGACACACTGTTAACTATACACTGCACTGACACACTGTTACCATACACTGCACTGACACACTGTTACCATACACTGCACTGACACATTGTTACCATACACTGCACGGACACACTGTTACCATTCACTACACTGACACACTGTTACCATACACTGCACTGACACACTGTTACCATACACTGCACTGACACATTGTTACCATACACTGCACTGACACACTGTTACCATACGCTGCTCTGACACACTGTTACCATACACTGCACTGACACACTCTTACCATACACTGCACTGACACCTTGTTACCATACACTGCACAGATACACTGTTACCATACACCGCACTGACACACTGTTACCATGCACTGCACTGACACACTGTTACCATACTGGAGTTTACCTGGAGTTTACCTGGAGAGAGTTCCGTGGGTCAACGCCCCCGCGGCCCGGCCTGTGACCAGGCCTCCTGGTGGATCAGAGCCTGATCAACCAAGCTGTTGCTGCTGGCTGCACGCAAACCAACGTACGAGCCACAGCCCGGCTGATCAGGAACCGACTTTAGGTGCTTGTCCAGTGCCAGCTTGAAGACTGCCAGGGGTCTGTTGGTAATCCCCCTTATGTATGCTGGGAGGCAGTTGAACAGTCTCGGGCCCCTGACACTTATTGTATGGTCTCTTAACGTGCTAGTGACACCCCTGCTTTTCATTGGGGGGATGTTGCATCGTCTGCCAAGTCTTTTGCTTTCGTAGTGAGTGATTTTCGTGTGCAAGTTCGGTACTAGTCCCTCTAGGATTTTCCAGGTGTATATAATCATGTATCTCTCCCGCCTGTGTTCCAGGGAATACAGGTTTAGGAACCTCAAGCGCTCCCAGTAATTGAGGTGTTTTATCTCTGTTATGCGCGCCGTGAAGGTTCTCTGTACATTTTCTAGGTCAACAATTTCACCTGCCTTGAAAGGTGCTGTTAGTGTGCAGCAATATTCCAGCCTAGATAAAACAAGTGACCTGAAGAGTGTCATCATGGGCTTGGCATCCCTAGTTTTGAAGGTTCTCATTATCCATCCTGTCATTTTTCTAGCAGATGCGATTGATACAATGTTATGGTCCTTGAAGGTGAGATCCTCCGACATGATCACTCCCAGGTCTTTGACGTTGGTGTTTCGCTCTATTTTGTGGCCAGAATTTGTTTTGTGCACAAAATTCTCTTACCATACACTGCACTGACAAACTGTTACCATACACTGCACTGACACACTGTTACCATACACTGCACTGACACACTGTTACCATACACTGCACTGACACACTGTTACCATACACTGCACTGACACACTGTTACCATACACTGCACTGATACACTGCACTGACACACTGTTACCATACACTGCACTGACACACTGTTACCATACACTGCACTGACACACTGTTACCATACACTGCACTGACACACTGTTACCATACACTGCACTGATACACTGTTACCATACACTGCACTGACACACTGTTACCATACACTGCACTGACACACTGTTACCATACACAGCACTGACACACTGTTACCATACACTGCACTGACACACTGTTACCATACACTGCACTGACACACTGTTACCATACACGCACTGACACACTGTTACCATACACTGCACTGACACACTGTTACCATACACTGCACTGACACACTGTTACCATACACTGCACTGACACACTGTTACCATCACTGCACTGAACACTGTTACCATACACTGCACTGACACACTGTTACCATACACTGCACTGACACACTGTTACCATACACTGCACTGACACACTGTTACCATACACTGCACTGACACACTGTTACCATACACTGCACTGACACACTGTTACCATACACAGCACTGACACACTGTTGCCATACACTGCACTGACACACTGTTACCATACACTGCACTGACACACTGTTACCATACACTGCACTGACACACTGTTACCATACACTGCACTGACACACTGTTACCATACACTGCACTGACACACTGTTACCATACACAGCACTGACACACTGTTACCATACACAGCACTGACACACTGTTACCATACACAGCACTGACACACTGTTACCATACACTGCACTGACACACTGTTACCATACACTGCACTGACACACTGTTACCATACACAGCACTGACACACTGTTACCATACACTGCACTGACACACTGTTACCATATACTGCACTGACACACTGTTACCATACACTGCACTGACACACTGTTACCATACACTGCACTGACACACTGTTACCATACACTGCACTGACACACTGTTACCATACACTGCACTGACACACTGTTACCATACACAGCACTGAACACTGCTGACATACACTGTCACTGACACACTGTTACAACATGCACTGACACACTGTTACCATACACTGCACTGACACACTGTTACCATACACTGCACTGACACACTGTTACCATACACTGCACTGACACACTGTTACCATACACTGCACTGACACACTGTTACCATACACAGCACTGACACACTGTTACCATACACAGCACTGACACACTGTTACCATACACTGCACTGACACACTGATACCATACACTGCACTGACACACTGTTACCATACACTGCACTGACACACTGTTACCATACACTGCACTGATACACTGCACTGACACACTGTTACCATACACTGCACTGATACACTGCACTGACACATGTTACCATACACTGCACTGACACACTGTTACCATACACTGCACTGACACACTGTTACCATACACTGCACTGACACACTGTTACCATACACTGCACTGACACACTGTTACCATACACTGCACTGACACACTGTTACCATACACTGCACTGACACACTGTTACCATACACTGCACTGACACACTGTTACCATACACAGCACTGACACACTGTTACCATACACAGCACTGACACACTGTTACCATACACTGCACTGACACACTGTTACCATACACTGCACTGACACACTGTTACCATACACTGCACTGACACACTGTTACCATACACAGCACTGACACACTGTTACCATACACAGCACTGATAGTTTGAGAGCCCATAACAATGCCTGGTCATCCTGCTGTAATTAAGAACTTGTGAAACCCTTTATATACCATACAATAATTCTTTAGTTTTTGTAAAACACTGGACGAAGTAATTGCAGCTTTCGTATATTTTAATAACTTCAAATTCTAATCTACAATTCTCATGGTGAGTCGAATATCCCAGTTTAAGAGATATATTTAACTACTGCTGTGAAGAATATATCTAGTGTGAACTTCGTGGAACTTTGGTAATACTTTCCTTTAAGAGTTCACGCAGGCGAAATTAAGTAGTTTATAGAAGCAGTTGACAAGCTGCGTTCACTAAATATTCTAGCGTATTTCAGAGTGCGTTCACTAAATATTCTAGCGTATTCCAGAGTGCGTTCACTAAATATTCTAGCGTATTCCAGGGTACGTTAACTAAATGCTAATTTTCCACATATTTACAAGATACAAAAAAGAATGACCATACCGCAGAGCGTCTGCTAAACCTTCCACGGCGAATTTTGAAACACAGTAAGGAGCCATGAAGCTTCTGCTGACTCGACCGGCAGCGCTGGAGATGATCACAACACGACCTGCAGAAAATGTTCCCTAGGTGATTTAAATTTCATTAATGCATGACTGTGTGATCTTGCTAAACATACTCTCTCATGTCTATAATAATGTTGTATGTTTTAGTCCCTAAAGAATGTTCAGATCATAACTTATTCTATAGTAGTCACTAGGGTCTTCACACCTCCCAGAGTCTTTTATTTCATTCGACTGAGAGAATACTTTAAGAATTAATTTTTGAACCTTCAATTAAATGATAATTGCCTTTTTTCATGTACTGAGAATCTCACTAAGACTATAATATCTTGCTTTCAATCTTTCATTATATTGACGTGTTGTTCCCAGTCATCACAGCAGCGGTAACACTGTGTTATTGACAAGTTGTTCCCAGTCATCACAGCAGCGACTGAGTACAGACTAGGTGGCCAAAAACCGCAAGCCTCGCTCAAGGAGAAAGATCTCGGGGTGAGTATAACACCGAGCACGTCTCCGGAAGCACACATCAACCCGACAACTGCTGCAGCATATGGGCGCCTGGCAAACCTAAGATTAGCGTTCCGATAATTTAGTAAGGAATCGTTCAAGACACTGTACACCGTGTACGTCAGGCCCATACTGGAGTAACCAGCACCTGTTTGGAACCCACACTTGATCAAGCACGTCAAGAAATCAGAGAAAGTGCAAAGGTTTGCGACAAGGTTAGTTTCAGAGCTAAGGGGAATGTCCTATGAAGAAAGGCTAAGGGAAATCGGACTGACGACACTGGAGGACAGGAGGGTTAGGGGAGACATGATAACGACATACAAAATACTGCGTGGAATAGACAAGGTGGACAGAGACAGGATATTCCAGAGAGGGGACACAGAAACAAGAGATCACAATTGGAAGTTGAAGTCCCAGATGAGTCAAAGGATGTTAGGAAGTATTTCCTGAGTAGTCAGGAAGTGGAACAGTCTAGCTAGTGAGGTAGTGGAGGCAGGAACCATACATAGCGGTATAGAGGTACGATAAGGCTCATGGAGCAAGGAGAGAGAGGACCTAGTAGCATTCGGTGAAGAGGCGGAGCCAGGAGCTGAGTCTTAACCCTGCAACCACAATTAGGTGAGTACTGTGTTTTTGACATGTCGTTACCAGCTATCACAGCAGCGGTAACACTTTGTTATTGACATGATGTTCCCTGTCATCACAGCAGCGGTAACACTGTGTTATTGACGTGTTGTTCCCAGTTATCACAGCACCGGTAACGCTATGATATTGACATGTGCCAAGTCATCATAGCAGCGGTAACGCTATGTTATTGACATGTTCCCAGTCATCACACAGCAGCGGTAACACTGTGTTATTGTACATTTTTCCCAGTCATCACACAGCAGCGGGTAACGCTGTGTTATTGACATGTTCCCAGTCATCACACAGCAGCGGTAACACTGTGTTATTGACATGTTCCCAGTCATCACACAGCAGCGGTAACACTGTGTTATTTGACATGTTCCCAGTCATCACACAGCGCGGTAACACTGTATTGCATATATTTCAGCATCACAGCACGTAAACTGTGTTATTCATGTTCCAGTCATCACACAGCAGCGGTAACACTGTGTTATTGACATGTTCCCAGTCATCACACAGCAGCGGTAACACTGTGTTATTTACATGTTCCCAGTCATCACACAGCAGCGGTAACACTGTGTTAGTGACATGTTCCCAGTCATCACACAGCAGCGGTAACACTGTGTTAGTGACATGTTCCCAGTCATCACACAGCAGCGGTAACACTGTGTTAGTGACATGTTCCCAGTCATCACCAGCAGCGGTAACACTGTGTTATTGGACATGTTCCCAGTCATCACACAGCAGCGGTAACACTGTGTTATTGACATGTTCCCAGTCATCACACAGCAGCGGTAACACTGTGTTTAGTGACATGTTCCCAGTCATCACACAGCAGCGGTAACACTGTGTATGACATGTTCCCAGTCATCACACAGCAGCGGTAACACTGTGTTATTTACATGTTCCCAGTCATCACACAGCAGCGGTAACACTGTGTTATTTACATGTTCCCAGTCATCACAGCAGCGGTAACACTGTGTAGTGACATGTTCCCAGTCATCACACAGCAGCGGTAACACTGTGTTAGTGACATGTTCCCAGTCATCACACAGCATGCGGTAACACTGTGTTAGTGACATGTTCCCAGTCATCACACAGCAGCGGTAACACTGTGTTATTGACATGTTCCCAGTCATCACACAGCAGCGGTAACACTGTATTATTGACATGTTCCCAGTTCACACAGCAGCGGTAACACTGTGTTAGTGACATGTTCCCAGTCATCACACAGCAGCGGTAACACTGTGTTATTTACATGTTCCCAGTCATCACACAGCAGCGGTAACACTGTGTTAGTGACATGTTCCCAGTCATCACACAGCAGCGGTAACACTGTGTTAGTGACATGTTCCCAGTCATCACACAGCAGCGGTAACACTGTGTTATTGACATGTTCCCAGTCATCACACAGCAGCGGTAACACTGTGTTATTGACATGTTCCCAGTCATCACACAGCAGCGGTAACACTTTTTTTATTACATGTTCCCCGTCATCACACAGCAGCGGTAACACTGTTAGTGACATGTTCCCAGTCATCACAGCAGCGGTAACACTGTGTTAGTGACATGTTCCCCGTCATCACACAGCGCGGTAACACCCGTGTTATTGACATGTTCCCAGTCATCACACAGCAGCGTAACACTGTGTTAGTGACATGTTCCCAGTCATCACACAGCAGCGGTAACACTGTGTTAGTGGACATGTTCCCAGTCATCACACAGCAGCGGTAACACTGTGTTATTTACATGTTCCCAGTCATCACACAGCAGCGGTAACACTGTGTTAGTGACATGTTCCCAGTCATCACACAGCAGCGGTAACACTGTGTTATTGACATGTTCCAGTCATCACACAGCAGCGGTAACACTGTGTTATTGTCATGTTTTCCAGTCATCACACAGCAGCGGTAAAACTGTGTTAGTGACATGTTCCCAGTCATCACACAGCAGCGGTAACACTGTGTTAGTTTACATGTTCCCAGTCATCACACAGCAGCGGTAACACTGTGTTAGTGACATGTTCCCAGTCATCACACAGCAGCGGTAACACTGTGTTATTGACATGTTCCCAGTCATCACACAGCAGCGGTAACACTGTGTTAGTGACATGTTTTCCCAGTCATCACACAGCAGCGGTAACACTGTGTTATTGACATGTTCCCAGTCATCACACAGCAGCGGTAACACTGTGTTATTGACATGTTCCAGTCATCACACAGCAGCGGTAACACTGGGTGTTATGTGACATGTTCACACAGCAGCGAACACTGTTATTGCATGTCCCCGTATCACACAGCAGCGGTAACACTGTGTTATTGACATGTTCCCAGTCATCACACAGCAGCGGTAACACTGTGTTAGTGACATGTTCCCAGTCATCACACAGCAGCGGTAACACTGTGTTAGTGACATGTTCCAGTCATCACACAGCAGCGGTAACACGGGGTTATTTGACATGTTCCCAGTCATCCCCAGCAGCGGTACACTGTGTTATTGACATGTTCCCAGTCATCACACAAACAGCGGTAACACTGTGTTAGTGACATGTTCCCAGTCATCACACAGCAGCGGTAACACTGTGTTAGTGACATGTTCCCAGTCATCACACAGCAGCGGTAACACTGTGTTAGTGACATGTTCCCAGTCATCACACAGCAGCGGTAACACTGTGTTATTGACATGTTCCCAGTCATCACAGCAGCGGTAACACTGTGTTAGTGACATGTTCCCAGTCATCACAGCAGCGGTAACACTGTGTTATTGACATGTTCCCAGTCATCACAGCAGCGGTAACACTGTGTTAGTTTACATGTTCCCAGTCATCACACAGCGCGGTAACACTGTGTTAGTGACATGTTCCCAGTCATCACACAGCAGCGGTAACACTGTGTTAGTGACATGTTCCCAGTCATCACAGCAGCGGTAACACTGTGTTAGTGACATGTTCCCAGTCATCACAGCAGCGGTAACACTGTGTTATTGACATGTTCCAGTCATCACACAAGCAGCGGTAACACTGTGTTAGTGACATGTTCCCAGTCATCACACAGCAGCGGTAACACTGTGTTATTGACATGTTCCCAGTCATCACACAGCAGCGGTAACACTGTGTTATTGACATGTTCCCAGTCATTTACACAGCAGCGGTAACACTGTGTTATTGACATGTTCCCAGTCATCACACAGCAGCGGTAACACTGTGTTAGTGACATGTTCCCAGTCATCACACAGCAGCGGTAACACTGTGTTAGTGACATGTTCCCAGTCATCACACAGCAGCGGTAACACTGTGTTAGTGACATGTTCCCAGTCATCACAGCAGCGGTAACACTGTGTTATTGACATGTTCCCAGTCATCACAGCAGCGGTAACACTGTGTTAGTGACATGTTCCCAGTCATCACAGCAGCGGTAACACTGTGTTAGTGACATGTTCCCAGTCATCACACAGCAGCGGTAACACTGTGTTAGTGACATGTTCCCAGTCATCACAGCAGCGGTAACACTGTGTTATTGACATGTTCCCAGTCATCACACAGCAGCGGTAACACTGTGTTAGTGACATGTTCCCAGTCATCACACAGCAGCGGTAACACTGTGTTAGTGACATGTTCCCAGTCATCACACAGCAGCGGTAACACTGTGTTAGTGACATGTTCCCAGTCATCACAGCAGCGGTAACACTGTGTTAGTGACATGTTCCCAGTCATCACAGCAGCGGTAACACTGTGTTATTGACATGTTCCCAGTCATCACACAGCAGCGGTAACACTGTGTTAGTACATGTTCCCAGTCATCACACCCGCAGCGGTAACACTGTGTTAGTGACATGTTCCCAGTCATCACACAGCAGCGGTAACACTGTGTTATTGACATGTTCCCAGTCATCACACAGCAGCGGTAACACTGTG